CAAATATTTTCACAGTTGAAAAACATAGTCTTTCAAATTTAATATCATTAGATTTTACTATATTCTTACTCATATGGATAAGATAATACATAAACACTATACCAGAAGTAAAGCTGATCAACAAACCAATAATAATCAAGAAATAACAAAAGTACAAATTTTATTTCTATGGTCAACAATGCTCAAGAAGAAAACAAGTAGAACCTTAATAATGAAAACAAACTAAAAGTACCTTCAGTGACAGGACATATAAGCAAGAAACAACCTTAAAGAGAGTCAATGGAGCTAGAAAATGAAATAAACCTTAGTAATATTATTAAGCTGGGTTCAAGTTTTTCATATGTTTCAGAACCTAAATATATAAAAATTATAGATAAGGAAGAAGAGGAGGAAGACTTGTTTATATCAGATAATGAGTCAGTCACAAAAACAAAACTAAAAATAAAAAGAAAGAGAAAATAAACTCACTTGTTAGGCCAAAAACTATCTCTTTCGAAGTATAGTGGAAAATGACTGGATTAAAATTCTTTAATGTTTCTATTGAGGTGAAAAAAATCACGGAGAAAAATTTCTCTATGAAAATTCTTAAGGTTAAAATCTTCTTTTTCAAAATCAAATTGAAATAATTTTGGAAAAAATTGAAATAGCCAATAAAATGAAGAATATTGTTATTTACTCATTAAAAAAGGAAGATATACAAAATACAAAAAAGTTAATTTAGGAAGTGCAAAAAAAAGCATCTACTTGTAGAATGTAGTTGATATTGTTACTAGGAATCACAGGTCAAAATTCAAATATCGAATATTTATTGGATACCTATTGGGTACCCAATATATTTATAATATTGGGCACTTATCAGATACCTATTGGAGAAGAATAAACATATTGGGTACCTGATATGATTGATTGTTACTAAGTACCTGATAATTAATTTTGTAAATTTTATCATGTGCCTGATATAATAGTGATAGGTGTGAGATAATTTTTATTATTATATCAGGTCCCCAATATTGTCTTGAATATTGGGTGCATTACTAAATATTCATATTGGGTTATGGTATTCTAATTATTTTATTCGGTACACAATATTTTTAATCAATAATAAATTGATTCAATTTTCTTTTTATATCAATTCTTTTTTTTTATACTAATTTCTTTTTCTGTTTTTTTTTATACTAACTTTTTTTTCCTTTTTTTATTATTTATAGTTTATATATTAGGATATATGTATACCATAAACATTTTTATACTTGTAAGATAATACACAATTATCCATATAAATAAAAAAAACGAACCTTTTTTACAAATTTAAACTACGATGCAATATTTCCAAATAAAAACGAGTCATTTACTGTATTGGAATTTAGATATAAAGATTGCATAGAAATTTTATAAATATTTAATCACCCTAATCAAGTACTATGCCGAAGTTAAAGTGAATGGATAAGCAAACTTCGGAAGATGAAAACCAGGTCTCTTTGAAAAAGAACTGGTAAATCTTGCTGTATGGATAATTCTTCTAATAAGAAATTTAAAAACGGAACAAAGATTAGATTTTCGCACATTTAAAAAAATCATCTAGGAGTTGAATAATGATATCCCGAAGTTAAGTAAAGGGATGCTCTCCAAAGAGAGTCCTAATTACGGCTAGGGAACACCTTATCACCTTATCACCTTAAACATCTGGAATAATGTTAAAAGGAAAGAACTTGAAAGATTTATGACCTTTTATCTCGTATTAGTAATAACATAAATGAATTAATAGTACATATCCAATAAATAAAACGTCTACAGCATAGCCTACTTCAAAGTTAAGTTCAGATACCAAATATGTAACATTTCAATGACTCATTATCATGGCGTATTATATCAACGCGTGTTCAAAAAATATTTATTTTATTTTTTTTTTTTTTTAGACAAATTTAATAAATATATTACTTTACATATGTTTTGAATGTTCATATATTTTTTGATTAATTCAATTTATAAGTTCATCACTAGTTTTGCGTCGGCGATACTGGATTAAAAAAAACAAAAAGCTAACCAGCATACCACCAATATACCCAATTCCATCATTTTGGAAGCCGACCAATAATCCTGCTGTTACGATCACCAGAGTAAAATTCTTCTTTTTTTTCTCATCATCGTCACGATCAGATAAATTCATGAAATTTCGTGCAGCGGATGATAATTCCGCTCCTGAGACAAAGAGCATTACACCAAGTATTGAGTTGGGGAAGTAATTTAAAAGATTGGTTAAAGTTTTTCCAAATAATATTCCCAGGATCAATTTAAAAAATCCCAAAACCAGTACGCTAACTTCGGATCTTGCGCCGAAACGGTATTGTCCAGCCAGTCCACCTGATCCATGACAATATGGGACAGAACCGAAAAAACATCCAATAATGTTCATAAGTCCGACAGAAACTGAAATTCTGCCAACAGTATTTAATGAGGATCGTTCAGGAAACAAATCTTTAGCTAATGCCGCCAATGCAATAACAGAATTGAGGGATGTCAGTGGAAGTTGGCCAAGAGATGCACTAAGAAATCCGGTTTTAAATTCTGCTGGGGTTGGAACAATAGTTTCAGGATAATTAAATGAGATTGATGGTAAAGTACTACTAGATTTAAAGACTTTTATAAGTGCAATTGTCAGCCCAATAATGAATAGGATTAATGCCGTAAGTATCTTTTTAGATGAATAAAATACAAATACGAATATGAATGATAAAATAGCCCATTCATAATTATCATTCCATTTCCAAGATCTACCACCCCAACTACCACTTTTTCGAACCATATCGCAAGCTTTTATGATTAAAGTCATGCCTGCTCCTAATTGAATACCTCTGATTATTGGAACGGGTGTCCATTTTTCGATGAGCTTAATAGTTCCAGTGATGCCAAGAATAAAAATCATAAACCCAACGCCAAGTCCTGCCGACATGACTTCACCTATTGATAAATGTGCCGAGATTGCCACCGCCGCAATAGCTATTGTATAATATAATAATAATTATTATTATTATTATTTAAAAAAAATGAAATGATAAACTAAATTTTTACCCTTCATTGGTTGAACACACATGGGGATTCGAAACATCCAACCACTAACGATATTCCATAGACCTCCAAATATAAGCGATGAAGTCAAAGAAATTTGCCCATTGATTGAAAGAGTCACTAAGATTGGAAGTAAAGTGCCTAAATCTCCAAGGCTACCACTTAATTCCGATAGAGACGTATTCTTCTTTATATGTAATGCTCTCTCTTTGATGGATGTACGAATATAAAGTAAAGGATTATTCCGGGAGGAATTATCTTGGTTCAAATTTGGTGTTTCCGGAACTTCGACAATTTCGTGACGAGTCATATTTTAAGATTTCGTTAAAAAATATTTGAACCCTAAGGTTTACAAACGTTAAAACATTTGAAGCTATTTATATTATTCGTATCAAAAAATTACTACCTTTAGTGTGACGATTCACCGTATGAGTTTTTTATTTTCTTACATCAAAGTTCGTATCTTTAAATTTTACCTAAGCGTTAACGCTCGCTTAAACCAATAAAATGTATCATAGGTCATACTCTAGAAATATTTGCAATTATCTTATCGTTATCAAAAAAAAAAAGATTTTTTCTACGTTAAATGTGTGTTATCATTCAGCCAAATATAGCTTATGGAAATTTCCATGCACAAACATAAACTTTAGATCTGAATTATTAAAAGATTTCAAGTTGCACGACATTGAAAATTACTTAAAATATCCTATCATCGGAAGTAAGTTAGATTAACCACTAAATAATAAACCAATTATTAATTTAGTTATAAAATATTGTGGCGTTAATTTGGAAAGTAACAACAACCAATTATCTAATATATCCAGCCATTCAGATTACGGTAAACTTTCGATATGAGAAATTTCACTTGTGAATTCCGGTCACCGTGTATCTTTCTAAAAGAAATTATTATACACGGTTCATTTTTCGAATACCCTAAGAAAAATCATAATTTCCTAAAATCATCAATAAATTTCAACAATTAATTATAACACAAGAAATAATCTAAATCATATAAACTTTTTTTTTAAAAAAAATTCTCTGATCATGAGCTATCATCTGAAACCTTGTATACTAAAATTGGATACTTACTTGTAAAGTAAACATATTTTAAATGAAATTATCAAATTATATTTTTGAAATAAATATCAATCATTTTTAATGAATATTTATTGTAAACATCAACTACCTTATGCAATCTTGTAGCATATAATAAGATATACCTTTTATTAGTGCCATATTTATTATTTTATAGTAAAAATCAAAACTTCATTTAGACATAACTAAAATAATCTGAATTTTTAAAAAATAAATCTAATATCAAAAAAGCTAAAAGTAATAACTAATGTTATTAAGATTTATTTTATATTTTACTTTTTTAAAAAAATAACAATATTATAATATATAAATTTACTTTTATTTATAATTCAAAATTTTTTATTGAATAATATGAAGAAGTTCTATTTGATTATTATCTAATTTTAATTTGGATTCTTGTTCTACAAATTTTAAAACATTATTTATATTTTTGATAACTAATTCTGTTTTAATTTTTTTAATTGAATTTATAATATCTTCATTTGTTATATTAATATCCTGGATTTGAAGTGAATCATCAATTTCAATATAATCATTTACATCAATAATATCATCTATATAAGATAGTTAACTTATTAAATGTTGGATCTCTTGAATATTATATTGTTGCAATCAAATGACTTCTCCAGTGATTATATTTTCTGAAATTGTACTGTTAGATGAAAATGTTTGTGGATCAAGTTCTAAAGATATAATGTTTGTTTTTTTTCCAAGAATTGTAAATAGTATTATGATTAATATTATCTTATGCTTCTGCTATTCAATCAATAACATGTTTAATATTTATATCTTTATCATCATTATCATTATTGTTGTTATTGTTGTCATTATTATTGCTATTAACAATTTCATTAATATTAAACAAAAATGTTATATCACACCAGTGGTGTTGAACACCATATTTTATACTACAGGGGTAATGTATTTATCATTATATGTCACATCCTTCAAATATCAATTTTTATTAGATATTCTAGGAACAGAGAATTTTTTTACATGCAAAAGCATATTTGTCACCATATCATTGGTAAATTTTAATAGGTAAAAATTTCTGGAAATTTTCATCACATAAATTTCTGTCATATTACAGGACCCACAGAAATTTTCAAAAATATTACAGAATTCTGACATTAATGTAAAATTCTGAAATTTTTTTACATAATATAATTTCAAAAATTTTTAATATAATAAATTTTCATAATTTAGATATTTCAAAATATTTTTAACACTTTCAAACCAATCTGTTTATTTTTGTTTTAATTTTTTTCAAAATTTTTAAATTTTCAAATTTTCAAATTTTCAAATTTTTTACTATATTTTTTATAAATTTTTGCAAAACATTATATATATATTTATTTTTATTCATTATT